CTATATATATATATATATATATATATATATATATATATATATATATGGCAGTTTACTCTAGCATTCTGTAAGATGAGTAGTTCCACTGTACCGCACCCCAAGTCCCATTATATCTATGGCACTGTGTGCTTACCCCTGAAACACAGACAATCTGATCTCAGTTACACTGATTTCAGGGCATCTCCACTGATTTCAGTAGGGTCATTCTGATTTACACTGGAGTACTGAAGATCAGATTCTGCCCTAAATAATCCAGTTCTGCCTTCAGTAATGTGTGCAGCTCTGTTGAATCCAGGAGTTATGTCATCATGTGTAAATGTAGGCAGGACTGATCCAGTGTTACCACTTATCACCTTATTGAACTTTATTAACTTTTTTTTTTTACTTTTTAGTAAGCAACAAATGATCCCAGGGCTTAGTTTATTGAAGAAGCTAAGCTATTTACTCACTGCTATGATAAACCTGATATCCGAGCATCCTTTTAATCAAATCACCTACATAAAAGTTTAAATATTGAAAAAATTGAAAACTCCACATCATCTTCATGTTCCTATTACGCCTCTGGCATTTAGGGCGGTGACGAAGCTCCTCCACTCCTGTCTGTTTCTGGCAAGTCTTTCAATGGTTCCCAGCTGTGCCCCAGGTTTTTCAGCTCCGCTTCTACAGCTCTTTGACATGTTGTTTTCAGGCAGCCTCATTTTTGCTTGCCTTCACGTGTCCATCTTATTGCTACTCTGGTGATGGAATCAGTTTCCATCTGAAACACATGACCGATCCATCTCCAATGCCTCCTGGCAATGATGGTGCTCAGATTCTCTTGGCTGCACTGTGTCAATAGATCTTGGTTTGAGATTGTTCTGGGCCAAAAGATACGGAGGATTTTTCTGAGGCAGGTTGTATGGAATGAAGACCGTTTGGACATGTCATACTTTCTCCTCAGCATTCTGCACTATAAAGTAGTGTTGATAAATCTTGAGTTTGGTTTTGGTGTTGTATTTTGATGATTTCCAGACTGTATTTAAGCTCCTGAAGGTATTTCTGGCTTTATTGATTTTGTTCTGGATGTCCTGGCTTGTTCCACCATCCTGGCTAATGGTGCTGCCCAAGTATGTGAACATTTCTACATTGGTGAAAACATAATCCTCTATCCGTGATGGTGAGGCAATATTAAACATCATGATATCTGTCTTATTGCGATTGATTTTCAGTCCAATTTGCTGGTGGAATGAGTTGAGTTGTTTTTTCTTGTATATGGTGTTGGGTATGTGATAGGAGAGCGACGTCATCTGCAAAGGGTCAAGGTCTTCAAGGGATGAGAAGAGTGTCCATTTAATGCCTGTTGGCATGTCTTCTGTTGTACGTCACTGTGACATTGCACTCCATATGTTTTATGGAACTATGCTTATGAATATGCTTTACGCTAAATACCCCTTGTGTGATGTCATTAGAAAGCTTGTAATCTACTAAGTGTGTTCATCCTATTTATTTGCATGTATTATTTCTATATCTGGAGTTAGGTGAATAAGATATAAACTTGTATCACTGATGTAAACATATTAAGTGGAAGCCATTAAGGGTGCTCCAGAAACAATCAGTTGTAAATGGCTTTAGTTACTTGAAAGCCTTCCTGTGTATGTGTGGGCCAGCCCATGGGGAATGGAAAGTAGGGATCTTACAGTGACATGTGACCATGTCACCTGATAATGAAATCCATCTTAAATCTGGTACCTTTCCATTTAGAAGGAGGGATGGAGACCCAGAGAGACAAAAGATTCCCGCCTTGTGCCAAAGCTATAAAAGGGGGTGGAGCAGGACAAAAGGGGCTGCCAGTTATGAGAAAACCCCTGCTTACCACCTGAGATGTCTGCTGGATCTAACAAAGACTGTACCAGGGGAAAGGTTTGGGCCCAGACTAGGAAGGAGTCTAGTCTGTAAAAGAAGCTTATTTGAGGGTGAGATATTACCTGTAATCAGTTTCTTCATATATTAGGCTTAGACTTGTGTGTTTTGTTTTATTTTACTTTGTGACTTACTTTGTTCCGGCTGTTATTACTTGAAACCACTTAAATCCTACTTTTTATACTTAAACAAAAGTGATTTTATTATTAATAAACCCAGAGTAAGTGATTAATATCTGGGGGCGCAAACAGCTGTGCTTATCTCTCTATCAGTGATATAGCAGGCGAACAATTTACAAATTTACCCTGTATAAGCATTATACAGAGTAAAATGGATTTATTTGGGGGTTTGGGTCCCATTGGGAGCTGGGTGTCTGGGTGCTGGAGACAGGTAACCTGCTGAGCTGTTTTTAGTTAAAGTCTGTGGCTTTGGGGGCGTGGCCCAGACCCTGGGCCTGTGTTGCAGCAGGCTAACATGTCTGGCTCAACAAGGCAGGATTCTGCAGTCCCACGCTGGCAGGGAAAACGGGCTCAGAGGTAATTTCAGTACATCAGGTGGCAGTCCCAAGGGGATCTCTGTGACCGAATCCGTCACAACCGCATTACCCAGTCTATGGCAATGTTGAAGAGGATTGCAGACATGACACACCGCTGACGTACTCTTATTTTGACTTCAAAACTGAGCTCACTGTAATCAACACTGCATGTATAGTTGAAATAGAAGCTTTTGATGACATTGATTATACGGAAAGGAATTCCATATGCCCGCAGAATGCGCCATAGGCTGGTCCTGTGAGTGCTATCAAAAGCCTTCTCAAAGTCTATGAAATTTATGCAGAGTTGCCATTGCCATTCTAAGCACTGTTCTATTACGTTTCGTAGAGTGAAGATCTGCTCTGTG